CGATATTTCTTCTTTTATTAGAAATAAATACTGACTCTGATCGTATATGACAATCGAATTTGTTATAAACAATTAAAAACAGAATCTGGGCAATATATTCGAAATCTTTTAACGTGTAATTTTTCACTGAAGAAAGTTACTAACTGCATAACAGGAATGTAAATGCAGTCTCTTTGTTTATAACTATCAAATTTGTTATGAATAATCAAAAGTGATATCTGTGCAATGTATGTAAGTGCTTTTAACGAGATGTTCCCCTTTCTCTGAAAAAAAGTGTAACTAACAGCACTACATGGATAACAAGAAAATTTTCTTCATTTATAATATTTGAATTTATTTGAAAAAATTGAATACAAGATCTTTGTACTAGATTTAAATTTTTCCGCCATGAAATTTTTCTTCTTCTGAAAAAAAGTTACAAAAAACGTAACATGAATAAAAATGCACTCTTTCTGTTAATAACCATTGCAAACAGGGTTGAGGCTAGTTAACTTGAGTTCATCACAAAAAATTTGAGTTGTTTTACCGTCGATACGAGCTTTGATTAAGCTAAAGTTACCGACGGAAGAAAATAAATTTCAGAAAAACATTTAATGTTATCTATTGATCTTTCGTATAGAGTAATGTTACCACGGCAATTCCGCAATATCGTAGGTATTCAATTCTTTGTATAATTAATATTATTTTTTCTAATATGGAGAATTGTTAAAAAAGTAAGTGAAATCCATTAAAGATAAATATCATGTGATTTCTGTAAAAAGAATGGCACTAAATCACCGTAATTGAAAACGAAGAAAAAAACGTAATACTAAGTCGAACCGGTGTACTGCCTCTGTTGACACGCTTTCGTCTTCCCTCTTACAGCATAAAATCAGTTGTTCAATAAGAAATTCAATAAATGTGCGTAAGAAATTGTAGTTGGATTGTTTGATTAATATTTCGATAGAAATTGGCTAGCATAAATCTTTTTCAGTATTTTTTTTTCGTGTTTAAAATCCACTAAAGAAAGCTTAGTGTGGCTATGACGGTATTTATTACTTTTTTTACGCTGAGCTCTCTAGTAGTCCAAGAGCAGTATGAAGAGCCCCTATACTAGTATGCATTATAAGTATCGTAAATTGTTGTTATTATCTGGCAGTTTTTGACTATTCTTAAACTACGTTAGAATATTCTAGTATTTAATAAACCGAGTTATCCGTGTTATGTCCGAGTTTTTTCAAGTTAATAATTGAAATTAATAGTTTGTTATGTATTTCTGCTCTTTATAGGTGTCGATATGTAAACCATACGTTTAACCTTAGAGACTTTAAGTTCCTTTTTTTAGTCCTAGTCTTTCGATTAATAGACAGCGATGAGAGAATCTTCGGTAAAGAAAATGGAAATGTGTGATTTATATAAAAACAATAACAAAATTTATTGAATGTGTTGAGAAAATCTCAACTTTTGAATTAGCCTAACCGTCTAAGGATAGGAAGGATTGTGCCGGAACAGAGTAAACGGAAGTCAGGTTTTATGAAACATATAATATCTCTATTTTCGGCACCAACAATACACAAACCACACTGTACAACTTTTTGTCACTAAATAAGAAGCATGAATGTCATTAGAAATCACTGAATGTCAATTTTAATTGAATGTCTAAGAAATGCTCAACTCGGTGTGTTTGGTATTGTCTTGAAATATTTCTCGATTAATTTATTGCTTTTCGCCACGTGGGTTTTTCAAAAGCAATAAAGTATCTAGAATATGATTTTCTCAAATATTCTTTGAAACTCTTTCTATTTTAACGAAATCATAGGAAAACTCAAAGAAAAATAACTTAAGTAATAATCGTTAACCTCAATCCTTAAGTTTTTTTGTTATTAATTTTTAGCTTTTCTTAAAATACATTTCAAGTAATTATGTGAAATAATTGAAATGCATTCAGACATTACAAATCATCTAAAATGCCAAAATTAGGGACGAAGGGTACCGCGCTTTTAGTTTACAATGCGAGGAGTTAAATATGAAAGGCGAAAAAAAGAAAATAATTATGATCTGACTCCAATACACAAAATTTATACTTACCGAGAAAAGGGGACTTAAAAAAGAAACTATCATGCTCACATTCCTTTCTTGATGGTTCTTAATAGGGGCCAGAAAGGTCAGAAATATTGTAGACAAATACCAATAGACACTAATGGTTAGGGTTGAAGACACTTCTTTATTCCCATGTAAGATATTCTTTTACTTGGCTTATAACTTGTAATTTATAACTAGAGATCGAGGTTTGGTTATCATAAAATCATTGCAATTATTAATTGAGTGGTTCGCAAGAATCTGAGTAAACAATTTACTTTACTTGGTTTAATTATATTGAGTTCCTTAGGTGACACTTTGCACTTGGACTCGATGATAAATCTACTACTTATAGTTAATTATTGCTTAACTTCGACACAGTGATTTCTCACGTTTTCTGCTTTTTGAGCTATGACGCCAGGTACACTGGAGGTCAAACTCGCCTTTCAAAAAACGTAGGGAATCAGAAGTATTCTCCATTAACACATAAATTGTTACTCGACGTTCAGTACGCGGGTCGTCTGGACGAGTCTACGGTGATCGACAAAAAGCCTCGATAGCAACTCATACTGCTTTATATAAAGCATTAACTTAATCCACATCGTCGGAATGTCTTTTAAACCTGGAACGAAAGTGCACCGTTTGCACTTCGAGTTGCAAAAATCAAGTTGTGAAACATTTGTAAATGTTTCACGGCTCGTGAATGATATCTAGGTCCCGAATACTTAACTCTGCAGCTTTGTCAGCTGGGTAAGTAAACTGAAAAGGGGAATCAACAAAAAAAAAATCATGAGTTAAAAACTTAAATGTTTTGCAACAGGATCAAAGTTTTGTCAACAACATGAATCGTCAGCAAAACATTCATGATTTATGAAAATCAATTCATTAGGTCACTATTTATTGAAGAAAAATAAAATGATATGCCGGACACAACATCCGGAAGTAAAGCAAACAGATTTCTATCCAAGACAACTCGGGATCGATGAATGACTGGACAGTAGATTTCTTCTTCAATACAAGGTTCGTGAAAATAAATTAAAAGTATTCAAAAAATTTTTTGGTGTAGCGAAAACAGATAGACTAGCTGAAATATTAGCACTTTTTTCGTCAAAACCTTTTATCCTTTTTTCTTGTTTTTTGAATATTTGAATGTTCATACGTATTTTTTCATTTATTGCAGCTCTTTCCGACAAACCACTTAACTTTATCTAATTTTTTAACGTCAAAAATTATTTTTCTCCAGCTGATTTTCAATGTATTTAATAGAACAATGTTTTTTGAACATGATCACGGGAGTGATCGTTGAGTTTCAATCGATTTCATTTTTTAAGTAAAGTTGATTGAAGTTTACTTGCCAATAGTTTTTCATAATTATCATTATTTTCATTCTACCCCCAGTTACCCCATGTATCAATAAAAAAAAAATAAAAAAAATAAATATCATTAATTGACTCAGCATTAAAAACTTAATCGATTAATGCTTTTTAATTTTGCCATTTTTTTTTCATGTCACTTAGGTTGACTACTCTATACAATGCTGGAGATCTCTTGGTTTTCTTTAAAGTATTAAAAATGCTGTTTATCATGATAAAATACTCGCAATGAGTGTGGCAATCGCTTTGTTTCCTCCCGAAGGGTGTTCAATATTTTCATTGTTTTGAACGTTTCCAATCATTAGAGGTCAATAACTTTTTACCTGCTTCGGGTAAGGTTGCGAAGATGCAGACTTTTTTATGTAAAATCGTAGCCACTACGACTTTTGTTCAAATCATTTTTTCATATTTGTTACGGTTCTTGAAAAAAATGGGAACAAACATGAGATAATGCATAAAAAAAGTGTTTAAAGGGTGATTTCAAACATGGCCCGATGTCGGAACACATTTTTTTTAGGGGAAACTAATTCTACAGATTCCCTACAAATATTGTATCAAAATTTTATGCCCTTCAATATTTCCGTGGATAAAATCTTAAATGGCTGGACTATAAACCCTTTTCGCTTCGACGTTTTATTTCAGATAAGAAAAAGTTTCAAACTCCACAGTTTCCTCAATTTCAAAATCCTAAAATCTTTTTGGAATATTGATGTGGAAATTCGTCACTTTTTATTTTTGTTTGTGATTTTTAGTTTTTTTAGTTATCCTAAAAAACAGTTTGTTAACTCGAGCCTTTCAGGATCTGTTTTTACTCTTAACAAATATCGACATGTAAATCCAATTGAGTTTGGGAAAATACAATTACAAAGTATATATATTGTATTATCAGATAGGGTTTTAAAATTTAATAATAGTAAAATTCTCGTTACCAATTGTTACTGTTTGATTCAAAGCCTACCCTTTTTTATCTACTTTTTTGAGCCTCTAAATCGATGTCCTTGTTCATTTTTATTGGTATCATAATTTATATTGCAGCTAGCAGTCAACAGTAATTATAACTAGCATATTTGACACGTATTTTTTCATGTTCTTAACCTCAGTGATAAACCTTAAGCTGTACAGAGAAACAGCCGACAAAACGAAGCCCATTAAGTTAAGCGATCCCTAGTTTTATTCGTCAATATTAGGATTACTTCTAATATCTGCCAAAATCCTCGTCAGTTCGAGTTTTCGAAGCTTTTCTAGCCGCTACCATAATAAATTATATTATGTTATATTTATTATTTATTAATAATCAATTTGGACATAAAACTACACAGCAAATTTCTGCCCAGAAAATATAGTTTAAATGAAATCCCTGTCATATAAATATTTAGATTCCCAATATGTTGATGCTTTTCATGAAATTTATATTACTACAGCTCAAGTAACGTTAAATTCTTCAGTTGAACTAAAAACAAGGTCATGCATTTAGCTTTTTTTCTTGAATATTACATGATGAATTTCGAGTAATTTTTTTATTTTATCCAGCATTATGTACTAACTCGTTAAGAAAAATTTATTTAGTACCTTTATAAGATATGTCTCGATGCATTGTTGGACAGTTTTTGGTTCCCTGAAACAGAATGATTTGCGTAAAGATAAGTTGAATATGCAAACTAAAATTACGTTTTTTAACACAAAGGTGTAATTAAAAATCACTAAAACAATGTAAAACATGTGCGCTGTCATAGCTAGAGTAATACGACTCTATGTCTACCACAAAATCCGCACATTACGGAACAGTCCTCCATGTGACAGAATCCGTTTCATAAAAAAATTTCTTCGAATCAAATTTCTTACTGGTCAATGTATCTTATCGAGGTGTGAATAACATTCAGAGTGAATGAAACTAAATATTATGTGATTGTATTTATCACCGATTTAAGCAAGTTTCTGTGCTAAATCATTTTAGAAACTACTGATCCGATGCTGATATCATTTCTCACAACAAAGGTATCTTGACGTGTCAGCTCTAATTCTTTTGCGGCTAATATCTATCATTTTTTATCACACTTTGAAAAATAAGTGTCTTTCTACGGTAACAAATATTTTGAGGAAGAAATTAATCCCTACCGATAACGAACTCTCAGAGCAGTTTTGGAATTTTATATACTTACAGTCAACATTCATTCGAAAGATCAAATAGGCAATTTTTGTCATAAAAAAAAATTAAAATTGAACTTACATTTTTGACAACTCGTGCATCAAGCATAAATCGCCGCCATTTTGCCCTTACATCACGACGAGGCACTACTATGTCTCTATATAAATTTACCCATTCGCTTCGCTGGGCATAAAATAAAATACGATTGTGGAACTTCGATGTTAATGGATCGCGTGATTCTCCAATGACAATAAACATGAATAAAAAATTATAGTGTAGTGATTATTAATGTATGTAATGTATTAATGACGTCCGATTGCTTTTCTACATGTACTTTAGATAAATTGTGTAATACATAAGTTATATAGCTTGTTTTTTCCAAGAATTTTTTAGAATAGTTGAATTAGTATGGATTATATATGTCCAATATTAGCGCGCTTAGCCTACATTTACCGGCATAACGCCGCTTCAAGCGTGCTGTATTACCACCTTCGGCACTCTTATGGCATAGACAAGACACCAGTGCTTGCCCTATGCTCCCAGTGGAATTGAATCAGTCATCAGTGCATCGCGGCTCGTATGCAGAAAGCAGTCATCCTTAGTTTTCTTAGAATTCTGAGTTGAGTGTAAACAATGATTGAACGGCTGCAGCTCTTAGCTTAGCCTCAAACCTGATAGAGGCGAGTGTCTGCGGGATAAACCCGTTTGGTCAGGCCCCAGGTGGGTCGGAGCCCTAGGGATCTCTGGCCAGACACCTTTGACCAATCTCAAGATAATAATAATTTCAATAAAAATAATAATTTTAAAAATAATTTCACACAAGATAATAAAAGTATTTCGAATTCTTCTATAGGTGATTTTAGGTCAAATTCTCAACATCAAAATTCTTCACAAATTTTTCAATGTTGGATTTGTAGTGAAAAAGGACATTCTAAGATGGATTGTCAGGTTCTTCAAACTAGTTTATCAAATATTTATAATTCTAATGAGTCTACTGGGAAAGGTTTATTTGAAGGAAAGGTAATTCTTTTGGATAATTCTTCTGTTTCTTATTCTATTTTTACAATTTGAAGTGGAAAATTTGATTTTGATTTTATCGAGACTGTAGAAGGCCCAATGCTCTGCATATTTTTAAAGGAATAATCTATCTATAATTGGTATGCTATAACATAGAAGAAGATAAACCGACTCATATGCGTGCCAATAATTTTTTCCTGAGATTGGTCGTGGTAATTCTGATACTTTAGCAATTTGAGGAAATGAACTTATAAGTCCTTCAACCTTTGAAAGCTAATGTATCAAAATAATGAGACGTGCTTTTTTTTTGATAAAAACCAAAGATTAGCAAACTATCGACATTTACCCAGTGACACAATGCATTTAATCAGCACTTAAAATATTGACATCAAAGTCTAGAAGTCTACACAAGAGAGATTGTTCTTCTATTCTGTTAGTTTTGCTTATAGCATGATTTGGAGTTTCAAAAGGACTACCCTTGATGATGGCATATACTCAAGCTGATCCGTTCCTGTTAGGAACTTCTTTACCAGGATGATAACACAATCCACATCCATATTTCCCGTTAGATTGCATCGAACACCTTATCATTGGTCGAGCAGTAGAATTGCAGATACTCATCAAAGTAACTATTTTCTTATTATATATATATTTTTTACACGTATATTCAAAGCCATCATGATACAAAGTTTTTAATTCATCGATGAGTGGTATCAAGTATTGATTCATTTTTTTAGATTTACTTTTACCGAACCACACACTACATATCATTTTATAGTGTTCAGCAGGACTAAATTTATTAATAGTATGTAGAATGGGATACATTGAATTAGTTGGACTAAGATGGAATATTGGTATACCATTAACACTAAAAGAAAAAAATGCAATCATTATTATAAAATGGGATAGAAGTTGATCGAATGGATTCTAGTTTGCTGCGGCTTAACGATTCCAACACAAATGATATCAGTAGATATACGAAAGAGTTTAACAATTTTTTCTTTGATAAATCAATTGTTAATCAGTAAAATTATTACAATTATTCAGCTAGCATCACTGCAACACGGCCGCGGCACTACATTGCAGTGACCTGGTGGTGAAGCACACATATGTTTCCCTGATCCAAGAACCTTATTGTAGGGAGGGAGAGGGCTTGGAGGAGACGCCATTGGCGAATCTTTCATAAGCTGAAAAGGCGATAAGGACTCCAGAGCATGCGTTTTCGCGAGATCTAAACCCTGTGAGGCTCAGCCAATACTACACAAGGGATCTAGCGGCAGTACAGGCGAAGATTGAGCTGGGAAAGGAGTCGGTCAAAGTCTTCACCAGCTCGGCATGCTTATCCTGATATGTGCAGTGCATATTGTCGGAAGGGAAAGCAAAAGGCAGCATATCTTTATCTGCAGGGACTGCTATGCTTTTTTAAAAGTTCTTTCGCAGGTGGTCACCTGATCAAAACTTGTGGACAACTATAGAAGGATACAGGGTACTGGCCAACTCGACGTCACATAAGGATGCTGGGACGCATAGAGAAATTCGCGTGCTGGTGGTGTGGGAAGGAGAAAGAGACCCCTTTCCACATGACAAGGGACTGTCTGGAGCATAGGGAACCAAGGCGGCGCCTCCTAGGAAATCTGGGATTCGATGTAACCATTCTTGCAGATGTCAATTGTGTAGTAAATGATTATTTATTAGTTCAATTTTTCAGTATGTCAACCAATTTTTAGAAAGCTCCGTAAAACACATTCTTATTTATAGATGTGACTTATTATGGTGTGAATATTAACAAACATTATTTATAAGTCACGGGGAAAAAATGTTCGATCTTCTTACATTTTTCAAGAATAATTTAAATATAAAATAAAATTATTTAAAGTACAACGAATTCTTAATTTTTAATAATATGTTATGACTGCAAATTTTTTTACAAGTAACAAATAACTGATAATTATATCGTATGTTATATCAAGTAACTGTAGATTTTCTTTTAATCTTACATTATGTCTCCATTATTCTCAGTAGCATTTTTATTTTTATGTAATAAAACTTTATCATATATGTAATCAAAAATATTGTTTAGAAATTTCATTTATGAAATATATAGTATATTTAATTTCAGTTGAACATAAAATTTGTTCAACATAATTGTGTACTAATAAATGTATCATTGTTTTCTGATATTTTAATAACAAATGAGTATAAATTCAATAAAAAAAATTCTTTTGTACTTCATTACTCATTTTTGTTGTATAAAGCATTACATAAACATGTTTCTTTACATGAAAGAACAAATACCTTATAATTCTATTTTTCATTATCAAAATAAATGCACGAAAGAAATTGGTTTGAAGTAACATAAATCAAATCCATCTGTCTATTTTTTGATACAATTGAAAAATAAATTTAGGAATCTTATTAACAAAAAAAATTATTAATCTGAAAATTTACCGATTTATAGTTATGTGGAAACCATAAGAGACTTGAAAATATATTTAACATTGACTCCACGATTATTTTAGAATTATTAAGGAAAAATAGTTTTAGTATATCTATATCTATTTTTTAAGACATCAGTTAAACCGATTACTAATCATTCAAAGACATAATAATTTTATGGAAAAATATATCTTAAAATAATAATTAGATTGCCTTTTTTGGTCATTCAGTGGCAGTCTTTTGAATAATTGCTATACTTAAACTTTGAAGTGATTAAAAAGTTTTCTTATTACAATAAATCATATTAGTTATCGCGATGTAATTTTGCTTCTTTAACTCTAGCGATAATATTTAAGCCCTCTTCTGCAGAATTCATAGATCCGTTAAAACGAGCCAATCTGATTATATTTCCGCGATGTTTCAATGCACCAATTTCTTGTTTCAATCTTCTATAAACCGCCATTTCTTCTAGATATTCATCGAGTGGTTTCGTTCGCTTGGGATTTGGTTCGACAACCTCGAGATCTAGACGAAAAGTTAAATAAATTGACGTTCAATTTAAAAATTACGAAAACATGACCTAGAAGATCTAGACGACTACTTTCAGCAGTAGACAATGGTTCCACCCAGCGTTCTTTACGATAAAGATTATGCAAAACCTGTTCAAGAATAAATAAAAAAAAAATTGATATAATTTATTTAAATAAGTGAAATTAGCTAAAATCCATTATACCAGATATTTACTTCAATATAAGTCCACGAAGAAGATTATCCACCCGATTTATTTTACAAATCCAGTTTTTTTCGGTATATCCGGTTGAGACTGTCTACTTTTAAGCAACACTTGGAGAATGACATAGTTCGACGATGTTTTTCAAACAAAATGGCATTAAATCTTTTGATGCATTTATGTAAGGCAGTCGAAATGTCTTTTTTTGTGCTACCAGGTAAACACCTTCTCATTCATAACAATTAATGAGAAGAAAAGTTTTATTTGGTGTCCAGTTATATGAAGT